GGGAGCACAGGCTGTGGCATGGCTGGCATGTTCGACTGGAACCGGCAAAGTTATCGCGCGGGCACTGCGCTACACATATCTGAGACTGGTTCGTGCTGAGGATGAACTGCTCCAGACGGCATTGGGAGACACACTCAAATCCTGCGGACTGCATTTGCCCTGTGAGGTGGGTGCAGACAAATACAGATGAGTGAGACCCAGAACGGCAGAAGGTCAATTACAGACACTTCCAACAAGCACACTAACAATGTTCGTCGTTGCCAGATAACATGCCAGTGCGAACACTACCTGTTCCCACCTAGCTTTGCACTCGCATGCCAATTGCTTCCCCATGTGTACACTGTAACGTTTGGGTTTGTCCCAACGTCAAACACAAGACTCCACTCAACAGCTCCAGACAACGACTGAGGTTTATTTACAAGAAGAAGGAAAGATAAAGATAAACTGTCATGATGTGTATATGTACACAGTACGGGAATGCATAGGTAACTGATCCAGGAACGGATCGGGTACATCGATAGACTCATGAGAGTACAGAGTACATAGAACGATAATTATATAGATTGTGTCATCCATTTATGGGTAAGCGAATGGGACCACAACATCTCCCTTTTTATGTTTGAAGAGAAACGCAAAACTCAGAGAATACAGAGTCCTGCACATACAAACAAGAGAGGGCAGAAACACATAATACTGAGCAATGTGTTCACAGGTCGAGTCTCGGCGGCGGCCGGGAAGGACGTGTGGATCGGCGCAAGGCAGGTTGAAACTCTACATCAGCGGATGGAGGTTCAGGTGCACTGGCATTCAACTGCGGCGCCGGTTGCACATCGGGCAGTATCTTGATATGGCGACGGTTACGGCGGTACTCGGTGAGGTCGTCTGTGGCGACGGTATACGAACGCTCATCGGTACGTTCAGTGACAACTGCTTCTGACTCTAGGTCAGGGATCCAAACTCTTGTACCTTGCTCTAGTACTGGCAGTGGCTGTACTCGATGTGCGGCATCATAGCTAGCACTCTGGCGTGTCTTGCTGGCTGCCTCACGTTTCCGTAGTGCTTCGATATCCGGCCAGCCGGGACGGAGCGCTTCCTTCGTAGACGGAAGACGGGTGCGAAGACGGCGACCGAATAGCAGTTCTGCTGGTGAGAACCCGTTCGCTAATGGTGTGGACCGGTAGACGAGAAGGGCATCGTCAAGGTTGTCGTTAGTCTTGAGAAGACGCTTGACGGTTTGTACTGCTCGCTCCGCCTCACCATTGCTCTGCGGATATCTCGGGCTACTCGTACGGTGGCTGACTTTCATCACGGTTGCGAAGGCTGAGAACTCGGCACTGGCGAATTGCGGGCCATTGTCCGATACCAGGACTTCGGGTACACCGTGTATCGCAAACAACTTCAGCAGTTCCTTGATAATTGACTGCGATGTCGTGCTGCGGACCGGAGATGCGTGGATATACCGAGAGAAATAATCCACGACGACGAGGTAGTCATGACCATTGTAGTGGCAGAGGTCTACGCCTACCCTCTCCCATGGCAGAGATGGGAACTCAGTTGGTTGAAGAGGCTCCGGTGGTTGGTAGCGATGCTTGGAGCAGATGGTGCAATTCCGGACATACTCAGCAACTGCCATCGAGATACCTGGCCACCATGCAGACGACTTTGCGCGGGCTTGACACTTAGTGATGCCTTGATGACCATCGTGTAGCTTGGCTAGGGTGCTAGCACGTTCTGCTACTGGAATCACGATGCGGAATCCATGGTAGAGGAGGCCACCATGAGTAGACAGTGAAGCGCGCTCATTGCGATACGGTTCCAAGTCAGCGGGGACTCGAGCTGGCCAGCCGTGGAGTGTGTAGTGCTGTACTTTCTGTAGCGTGACATCATTGGCGGTTGCTTCTACAAGCTCGTGCTCCTTCTCTGGGCTGCAGAGAGAGGCGAGGACTGCCGCTATTGTCGCTTCGGAGTCCCCGTGAAGCTCCGATTCCTTGACGGGTGCTGTAGGCAAGGGGGCTCTGGACAGAGTGTCAGCTACTACCATGTTCTTGCCAGGAACGTACTCGGCCTGCGCGTCGTAGCGCATCAGACGTATCAACAGGCGTTGGCACCGGAGTGGCACACGGTCCAGATCGCGACTGTTGATTAACGGGACCAACGGCTTGTGGTCGGTGTGAACAGTGAAACGCGGTCCACCGTACAGATATTGGTGGAAGTGTTCGCAACCCCAGACAGTGGCTAGGAGCTCTTTCTCTATCTGGGCGTAGCGTTTCTCAGCGGCTGATAGTGTGCGCGAGGCATATGCTACCGGCTTCCATTCACCATTCTGGAACTGGAGAAGAGCAGCACCTAGACCGTAGCTGCTGGCGTCAGCAGTCAGCAAAGTGGGTGCTTCCAGGTCATAGTAGCAGAGGCATGGTGCGTCTGCGGCGAGTTGCTTCAGGCGGTTGAAGGCTTCGGTGTGCGCAGCAGTCCACTGCCATGCAGTGTCATTGCAGAGCAGGTCGCGTAACGGCGCAGCAACGGTAGACAGCTCGGGCAGGAACTTAGACAGATAGGTGATCAACCCTAGTGCACGACGGAGTTCGTCGACATCGCTAGGCACTGTGAGCTTCTCTATGGCTTCGAGCTTAGCTGGGTCTGGGTTGACACCCTTGTCACTGATCTGGTGGCCCAGGTACTTCAGTGACGTGCGGCGGAAGCGACACTTGTCCGGATTGAGCGTTAGACCGGCGTCTATGAGTCGCTGCTTGACGGCTTCGAGGGCAGCATCGTGTTCACTCATCGTCGCAGCATACACAATGATGTCGTCAATGAATACGGCCACATTCGGGATGTCACCGAGGAGCTGCTGGAGACGGCGCTGGAAAATTTCCGGAGCACTGGTGATTCCGAACGGCAGGCGTTCGAACTTGAACCGGCCGAACGGGGTGATGAACGTGGTGAACATGGAGGCTTCTTCTGACAGGGGAATTTGCCAGAAACCAGATGCGGTGTCGAGCGTGGAGAAAATGGTTGACCCATTAAGCTTTGCCAGCGTGTCGTCCACAGTAGGCAACGGAAAATGCTCCCGTTTGACACTCGCGTTGAGCTTTTTCAGATCGACACACACTCGGACATTGCCATTCGGCTTCAACACCGGGACCATCGGCGCACACCAGTCTGTCGGCTGTTCTACCTTCGTTATCACCCCCTCAGTTTCCATCCGTTCCAGCTCGCGACGAACCTTGAGGCGGATATGGATGGGCACCCGGCGTGCGTTGACGCAGTTGTATGGCTTTGCATCGGGGCGAAGCTCAATCTTCACTGGGTCGCCGAGCATGCAACCAAGGGCAGGGCTAGCAGTTGACACACCTATGTGGCCTCGCTGGACTAGACCCATTCTCTGCGAGGTTTGGCGGCTTAGCAGGTTGACACCACCAGTGGCAATGACCAGGAGTGTGATGGAGTACGAGACACCATGCAGGGTAGCCTCAGTACTGAATTCGCCATCAATGTCAAGCTTCTTGCCATCTGCTCCGGTGACATGAGACTTGGTGGGACTGAGTGCTGGTCGTTCTGGCAGTGTGTGGAAACAGTCACGGGTCAAGATATTCAGGTCTGCGCCTGTGTCGATCTTGAAATTGACGTCCGCGTGACACACACGGAGCTGCACAGTCCAGGGTGCGTCAGCACTGTTACTTTGAGTCGAGGCTGCTCCCAGAAAGTGTGCTGGGTCTTCGTCATGTCCTGTCGTCGACGCAGCATGTGCAGCGCGTCCAGAACCATTGGAACTGCTACGACAAACTGACGCGAAGTGGCCTGTCTTCTGGCAAGTCAAGCACGTCTTTGACTTCGCTGGGCATTCATCGCGGTTTGCCTTGTGATCCTTTGAAGAACCACACCACAAGCACTTGCGAAAGTTTCCACTTGACGATTGGTACGATTTCTTACTAGACGACTTGCTGGATGCAGGCGAGGAGCGCTGTCCATGGCCTCGAGCGCGACTAGTTATAGCTGCAGCAGCTTGCTTGCCGAGATGCCCGTCCAAGGAAGATTGCTGGGCGACTTCAGCATTCACGGATTCCGTTTTCCGAGCAAGACTCACGGCTGTTTCCAAGTCCAGTGAGGTGTGATCCTCGAGCTGTAGCTTTTTTGAAACTTCTCTGTTCGTCATGTGAGCTACGAGTCGGTCTCGGATTCTCTCATCAGGTTTATCAAATGCGCAGTACTTGGCGGCGGCTCGTAGTCGGCGGACATACGTTTCGACAGTTTCCCCTGGGGACTGCACGCAGTGCTCGAAAAGAGTCCTCTGGTGGATCACGTTCACGCCAGGCCGAAAATACTTGTCGAATGCTGAAAGGACAGGGGCAATTTTCTTCTTGTCCTCCGCCGACAGGTTCAAAGACTCGAAAATCGGGTCGGCCTCGGGACCCATGGAATAAACAAGCGTATCCACCTGGCGTGGCTGGTCTGACTCGTCCAGTTTGGTCAAGGAGCGAAATCTTTCGAACCTGGCTTTCCAGGTTGGCCATGCTTCTGGCGCTGAGAAGTCGAAAGCGCCGGGGAGTGGGAACTTTGCAGAAGACATTTCTGCAATCAAACTTCTGACACCATGTAACGTTTGGGTTTGTCCCAACGTCAAACACAAGACTCCACTCAACAGCTCCAGACAACGACTGAGGTTTATTTACAAGAAGAAGGAAAGATAAAGATAAACTGTCATGATGTGTATATGTACACAGTACGGGAATGCATAGGTAACTGATCCAGGAACGGATCGGGTACATCGATAGACTCATGAGAGTACAGAGTACATAGAACGATAATTATATAGATTGTGTCATCCATTTATGGGTAAGCGAATGGGACCACAACATACACGGTGCCTCATGGTGCATGCTTCCTAAGATATACAAGATGATGTATTACTCTGAGGGTACGTGCTAGGCTAGTAACAGGGAGGTTCAGGCATGCATGCCGCCATGTGAACCACCATTATATTGGCCTGGGAAATAGTTATCACCCGGCTCACTGCAGTGTTCTGATGCAGCCGTACACAGTGGCGGCGAACACTAACCTGATGTAGGCTACACTACAGGTGCACCTTGGTAACAGTGATGCCTTACCTGGTACAGATGTATTGCTCATGGCGGTGGTGGTGACATTTGGCATAGTCTGATTGAAGCTCTGACATCTCTCACAGTCACTTGCCAGTGGACCACGGCAAGAATAATCCGGATCACACTGTGAGCTGCACGATTCACATATCCCCGTCGTGACGTCCTTGTAGTAGCTCGCTGGGCATGTTGCAAGGCATTCAGCACGGGAGCCGCTTACTAGCCTGGCATTGACACAGCTGGAGCACTCTGTTGCTGCAGGACCAGTGCAGACGCTACACTGCGGGTGGCAATGCTCACACACCTGTAGCAAATTGAAACAATTGGCAGAGACGCGATCCTTATAGAGAATGGTTCCCTTCAGGCTCCAGTTCTTTCAACTTGGTTAAGGTCTATCCACGCACCAAGAGATCCTTAGTTTGGTAATACTGTAGGCCTCAAAAGCCAACCCTCTATGCACAGCACCATCTGGTTTTTGAACATTTTCAGCGAGTTCAGTCTACTCACCAGCTTTCCAAAGTATGGATCATCCACTCGATTGGGCGAGGTCTGGTATGTAGTAGCTGGGCATTGTGATGCTGCATCCAGACAAGTTGGCTGGAAAGCATACACAGGCACGTACATACACACAGACACATACAGATATGCTACACTGTACAGATACTACTAACCATCAAACAATAGCTGACTTAAGTGCATTCAGACATGACACAAATACATTCAAGGGAGAAGTATTGATGATGGAGGATGCATCGGAATTGTCTGACTGACCATGCAAACTAGGACACAGCCAGCAGTGCTCTGTGCCTATGCCATTCTGCAAGACTATTCCTACTGCACATACCGTTCCATCAACAGAGCCATCGGCGAGTGTAACCGGCCGGATGACCTGTTCGCAATCATTGCAGCCGCCCTGGCCCAGGTACAGCCCTGGTCCGCTGCATCCACCTCTGCACACACCCGGGCATGTTTGGCACAGGCCTGCCGAATCCCCGTAGGTGTTAGCCGGGCACCTCTCAACGCACACATTGTTATCCGTGAATTGCCGACACCGAGAGCATTGGGAAGGCAGCTATAGAGGCAGAGCAAAAAGTAGAAGAAACATAAATTTGACTACCTGCAAATACCTGCATTTGGCACAAAACAGTTTAGGTGGATCGGAAGTTCTGTGGGACGACCGAGCTTTAATTGCATCAACCCTGAGACCTGTGACAGCGTTTCATCTATTGCATTTGCATATTTTTCATGATTCTCTCATTACACATGAAATTTTAAGTTGGATTTTAGACCCTGCAAGAGATATGTCAAGCACAATTTCAAGCCATGAGCAGGAATTCCAATGCCAGTGCCACCGGACGTATATGCAGGGCTGTGTGTCAGACTTACGGGTCCTGTACAAGAATCCAGGCATTGAGGATGACACGGGAGGCACTCATTCTGCGTAACCTCACCGTATGTTGGCCTGGAGATGAATACCGTAGAAACACAAGGCGGTAAACACGGCGCTTACAAGGAGATGATTATCATCCTTCACACTCTATACATAATAGGTGCTTTTTCAAGTTCCTTTTCTCTTCTACTCCGAGCTGTTTCAAACATTTTAAGTTCCCACTAGGGTAGAATTGGTTATCGCGGTCAGTTTCTGAACGACAACAACTCTAACAGATACACGTTGATGTTTTTCATGCGCAGTGCACTAGACAAATCTTTTTTTTAACAAGTTTGACATGCAGGCCCTGGGAAAAACAGCATGCTACTGCCTCATGATATTTCAAACAGAACCTACCGTGCCGTGTTGCAGGTCGTCCGGCAAACACCCTCAAAGCGAAATCCACTGCACCGCAGGCAATCGGCCGGTGACGGTCCCCAGCAGCCAAAGGTTGTATTACACTGGGCATGGCAAGTGTAACCCAGTACCTCTGAGCAGCATTCAAGCGGAAGAAAAGCAGCAAAATTTAGGTGGGCAACCTCAACTTCACTGAGAGGCTGTGTGACACAACGTTCCCGTTTAAACACTTGACAGCCAGGGTGAGCTTGAATACAACAGGAGACTCAGCCTTGATCACCAAATGAAGATGTACAGTTGACTACAAAGAGCCAGACCACACTCATCCATCCTTCATTTATACACTTTCCTATAACTAGAAAATCTATAGGGAAAAATGGTCAGCAAACACTTTAAAAGAATGTTTTCGACTCTCTGGTTTCTTCATCTATCCGGAAATTTCTGCGAAAAGCAATGACAGTCCTGGGATATGCAATGAGAGGTCTGGCTGCAGTCATTGCTTATGTGCACCATTGCACATGCATAATTTAGATATCAGTATGCACTGTTCATTCAGTGCGGGTCCAGACTTAGACCCCATGCTAACAGCCAGCTAGCTGCAGATCCCAGTATGACTTTCTATAGACTTGACTCACCACAGGTGGTAGCATTGGCATTGCCAGTGGACACGGTAGCGCCCTGTCCTGCTGGGACGATGCTGGTCCAGTTAATAGTTTGAGCGTAGCATAGTCTGGGATTCATCGCCACCACCGCAGGCCTGTTCACTAGTCTCAGCGACGACAGACCCACAGACGTTAGGTTGGCGTTTCTCCACATAACCAGGCCATAGTCAGCGCCACCCAGTCTACAGTCCTGGGGAAAGAGGCCCATGATCGTCTTCAGCTGGCTTAGAAATGATATATCCTCAACGATGTTAAAATTGTCCACTCGCAGACAGCCACTGATCACCCTAATGCTTGACAGGTACTGCAGATCCACAGCTGTTATGCCAGACACCCTGGGAGTGAACAGGATCAAACAGACAGATAAAGACTTATAATCCACTGGAAAGCGGTAGTGTGTGTGTGACAATGAATAATTTCACATGTATTACAGGGCACTTCACCCAGGTGTATGTCCACTGACAGTGCATATCACCCCCCCCCCTCCCCCCTGAAGTATACACAATATAGGCATACGACACAATGTGTTACTTACAGAACACTCTCCACTGTAATGAGAATGCTGCCATCCACCTCGGTACAGTTCTCAAATGTGCGGCTGTTTGCCTTGGTCAAGTACTTGGTGGAGGAAGCTGGATCGTTTGCGGTTCCGTTGCATCCTGAAGTACGCAAGAGAATAACCAGTGAAAAAGAATCAGCCAACCAAAGTCCTTATATTACAGGTCCGGTACTTCTCACAGGTTACATTGGCGAAACCCTTACCCAGTCCTTCCAATCCCATTATTTTCTTATACTGTTTTAACGTGTATCAGTTAGGAGGAAGTTGAAGATGGAAAAGTGTGAAGGGAAACTTGACTGCCACCACCAGGACTCAACCCAAGGACAAGTGTCACATGTCAGCCATGTTCTACCAACCTGAAACTATGGTGTAGGCATGGACAATCCTGACTACTTACGCTTGGGACACGGTCCATTGCATGGCACGCACACACCATTCTGCACCTGTCGGCCAGAAGAGCAACGGTCCACACAAAACTGACCTTCAACGAGAAGAGAGCCTACAGCATGAGAGACAACACACCAACCGGCAACCATGCAGTGAGCAGGGATAGACATCAGCACATGCACAGCAGAACTACATAGTGTGCACTTTGCAAAAAGAAAAAAAGAGAAAAAAAGAAATATTACGGGTTGGCGTACAGCCGGGGCAGGTCAAGAACAATCTCCCTGCTTCCGTGGGACGCAACCCACCAACCCATGATCAGGCGTCTGATGTACATTATGTACTAGTACTTGTACCTCTACTACAAGCAATGGAATCCGCAGGGCAACCAGGGGGGGGGGTCCTGAAAAAGTGGTAGATCCATCAACAGACTTTGGGAATCATTGCCCACCAGTCATCCTTACTTGGACATGACGTAACGCACTCGTGACGATAGGCATAGCGACCCTTAGGATTAACCACCTCGCTGAAAGTGCGCGGGTCTAGAATTGTTAGCGGCGGGCACAGCGCTACGCAGGATCCATCACTGTTGTAATTCTTACACGCCTGTAATGAGCCAAGAGAACCGTTGAAAGCACAGATATTGCATCACTTGTTCCACTGTGGCCTGCTCAAGAACATAGGCAGCTTCATGGCACATGAAGCTAAGCATACTGCTGCATCACATGCACTTAGTCAACCCGTGAGGCTCTGTGTCACTAGTTAAAATAGTTGTTGTCGACCTGGAGACTGTTACACATCAACAATCCCCCCATGCCATGAGGTGTACAGTGATACCAACACGGAATATCTTCAAAGTCCCACGCCGGCGTTCAGGTGGACTTAGCTCATTACTAACTTACATCTTACATAGTGGCCTGCATGGAGCATCAACGGTGAGAAACAATATCTTTTAGATTTTTACAGATAACAAATTATTTCAAAGCAGTCAACATTCAGACATTGGATCTTTGATGCTACTTACGAGACACTGGGAATTTGCTGGACCGGTGCAGCCGCCTACACATTCCGAATGGCAGCAAATCTGAGGGTTGGATGACACGCACCGGCGATTGCCACAGCTTTGGCAACTCAGGTAGGTCACTGTGCAATCAAAACATGTGAAGGGAGAAACGGGAGGAATAATTTTATGAGGAATTTGTAGTTTGCTACAAACTGTGTATCTAATCCTCTGATCATGCAGTTTAAACTGTTTTATACGACGTGCAAACATGCACAATAAAACAGTAATAGGAACATGACCGATGCATCTGTAGCCTAGCTATTCATGTGACAGAGGAGAGGGGGGGGGGGGGCAAAATAGTGAAAATACGCCATTGATCAGTCACATATTGAGACTTGCTTACATTTCTGACAAGTAGAGTTGCTAGTGTCCCAGCAAGAGCCACTGCACTGTGCATTGCAGCTGCCACCTGGGAAAACAACACGGCACAATGATGAACAAATACACAGTGACATTATGCAATGTGCATTCACGGTGATGACATCGTGTGATATGCATAGAAGACGACATCATCATGCGGCTACATGCATCATCACTGACGCTAGGAATATTTGAAACCAGACTTACCAGAGCCAACTGCACTTATGGCTACTCACAAGTACACATGTAATCACTCTGCACTGTATTTCCGAGTATTTTATTGTGAATAGTATAGCCAAGACCTCCATTGTGAGTAGATAATTTACGACTATAATCACACGTATCCGGGGCATGCACTGAAGTGCTTCTCAGTGAGACTTGTAAACATGACATCACATCAGGTACAAGCATAATAACGAAACTGTACAAAAAAATCTTGGAAAGGATCTTGTGTGCCCGAACACATGATTCCTGTGATCTGGTGAAGGGAATCAGCTACTGGCTAGCTTCAGTGCATACGTGCACGGCCACGGGGCTAGAGTGGCACACCATGCACAAGTACAACCGACAGCATTCCTCACTACACTTACAGCTAGAAGCCGATCCACCAGCTCCGGCAAGTGAGACAACTCTGGACTGATCATTCTTGACAATGTCATTCCACATCACACTCGTCCGGACAAAGCAAAGCGCCGGAGCACTGAAGAAGCCGATGTTCCCGGTGAGTATATCTCCAAGGGACGAGAGGTCAATGGTGGTCAGGGAGGGAAGTGATGACACAAACAGTGCATATCCCCCAGCCGCGTACAGCTCTTCACCACGTATCACAGCCAGGTTCTCAAGGGGTATGGACTCCGCCGGCCCTAGAGTAACTCTCAAATACCCACTGATCTCGCGTATGGAGCTCAGGAAGTCGTACGTCCTGTTCTCCGTGACGTTGGCACGTTCCAGCCTGATTAGATCCAGGCTCCCCTGAACGGATTCACATCCTTCAAACCGCGCTCTCAGGACATTATAGCTCAACCGTTGATTCCCCGTTCCGGGACAAACTGGAAGCAATGTTCAGAAAGCAGACACATCACATATGTATAGAATATACAATTAGCAATTAGGTATAGTTATGGTAATTGGAAATGGACCCGTACCTCACATTGACACACTAGGTAGGGTATTGCAGTTCATCCCAGTTGAAACATGCAAATGACCGTATGGCTGTATGTCTGTCAGTGTGGAAGCATGGTTACAGTCCCAGCCAGTGTTGCAAGTAATTAGTTGTCAAGCAGACAAGGAGCTGGAGCTGAGCTTCAAGTGCATCAATGAGACTGGGTTAGCCATGTACAGACGTAGTCAGTACCTCAAGATACCCCCCCCCCCCCCCTATTGGCAATAGGCCAGCTGGGAGAGGAGGTCTTGCTGATTGCTACATAAAAGTAACATTGTCTTCCGCTGCTGAATGCAACCATTACTCACTATGTAAACCGAAAAGTAACATAAGTCAAAAGAAACCATTGCTGTTACTCTTCATATCACTGCCTGATTGAATGTCAAATCTCCCAATGACCCTCCGTTGATCAGCACTCGGTTCACTTCAGTTCATGGGGATTCTCCTCGTGTGTGCTGGTGAACTTTGCACTCGCCCTTATCCCTCAACTAACTAATCACTTCTACGGTAAACGGTGAAGGTGGCCCAATGCCAATGTCTCTGGCCGAAGCGGAAGGGGCAGGAGTTTGAAAGAGGATTTGTTTCAATGACCTTGATAACGCAGCTTGGCATTCAATACTATTGCGACACGCCGAGATCCCTGTCAGTGACCTCAACTTCATCTTTCTCTCTGCCCACTCACCTTTTCTTGCGGTGCTTGTTGCGACCAGTGCGCAGTTCAGGCAGAAGAACAAGAGAAAGCAACGCGCACCGCTACTACTGATTCTTCTGCTCCCCGGAAACATACCGCGCTCGACGGTCATGTTCTAGCTGGCTGTCGAACGAAGGTTCCGAAGATTTTGAAGAGAGGCCGAAAGCGACGAGACACCGGGCCGCGTATGCTACACCGACACGGCGGTGAGATACACTACTACTGGTACTCGAGCACTGATACGTCTTGACGCTATAAAGTATAAGTCAACAAGAAAAAGTTGAGCTTTGGTCTGTTGCTTTTCTGGTTACACCGATGGAGTCTTAGTCCGGAAAACTCATGGGCCGATCCACTTGAAAGACTGCCTTATCCACGAAAGACTTTGGCTACGTCTTGCCTTGCACAGCGAAAGAGTCTGTAGCAGACTGCGGGTATTCTACAACAAGAATACTCAACTGCTGGTTCAGCAGAATGATCAAGCGCTTTCATGCACGGTGAGACGGTCAGCTACGAAATGAAACAGTTGTGTGACTCCCCCAGTCCCGCTGAGTAACTGGGCGGCGAGAAGCCACACTGACCGTGATATACTCTAGTGCAATGCGCGAGGATATCTCTGACACTCCGGCTGACATGTCGATGTCCGTCGTGGTGTTCGATGAGAGGGCAGATTTTATTGTGACTTTGTGTCATTGTCCTTATGAGTTATTGTTACCTGGTTACATGTACCGACAACAACG